TTTTTCGATTTTGTTTGCATCTTAACTAATTTACTGAAGTTTTTCATTAATTTTCTTTACAGAAAAGGCTGTTACCGCTGCGTAGTAATGCATGAAAAACATAAAAACGTTCTTCAATATAAAGAAAGTAAGTATTAAGAACAGATTCCTTAAACACATTCTACAATCTACATAAAAAAGACACCATTACATAACGTAAGATTCGTGGCCAAAAATATCTACTACACTTAGAAAATCGACATCAAGTACTATAAGAAGGCCTCGTAAGTTGAAAGGCTATTTGGTACACTCATATTCATCAAATAAGGATGAGTTAATGTGGTCCCCGCACTATACGGGCTATCAAGGGAATTTCCTGGACACATAAACAGGACGCCTAATTTTCTAGCGGGGTTCTCGTAATGAATTACATTACCATTCGGGTTTATTTAGCGCGGACTGTACTTTCGGTAATGAGTAATGACTAATGGTAACAGATAGCCGGTTATATCCATTATTAATATCGGTCACTTTGTCTTTAAGGTAATTTATTTTGTTAGAATTGAATTATGGTACTATTTACAATGGTATAGGTATGGGTCTGCTAATTGCAATTAATGTCATCACAAAAACTATAGTAGCATCAACCCCAAAAGGCCGGCAACGCACTTATAACTCTGCTGGGTTTATATGAGCCGCACCTATTGCTTACCATCAAGTGATCCTGATGCTCGTTTGCCGGCCTCTAGTTAAAAAAAAACAGCTGAAAAATCTTTTTAATACAGGCCTCCTTCTTACCTAATCGTGGAAGGCAGGCAGTAGGTATTCTATAGTTGTTTATATTATAGTTGTAATTAACTGCCTTCTTGTATGGAGCTATATGTTATACTCTCCACGGTAGTCTCTGCCAGGTAGGTCAGAGATCTAATCATGTGGTAATGCTGATATGGGTATTTTTCTTCTTTTCAGCATTTTGCCATCGAAGAGACGCCTTACCGCACCTGTGTTCTTTGATTACTGGAGACGCGTTACTTTACTCAATGTTTAGAGAAAACGCGGATCCCGTCGACTGCCCTTTGAAGGGACCGTTTTCTTTTACTTATAATAGGTAAGTAAACGTATGATGATTATATTAAGTGATTGCTGTTTGTCTTATAAGTGATCGTTAGTTCATTAAGTGTCTATATAATATGTTTTGATATAACACGGTAGTTGTCAACCAAATTCAATAATTTTACCGAAACGTCAAAAACAATACTGTTCTATGAAGCACGGTTGGTGCGGTAGCTGGGCAACCGGCTACCGTGCAACGTGTCGTGGGTTCGATTCCCGCACGGAACAACACTTTGTGTGATCCACAAATTGTTGATCCGGGTCTGGGTGTCATTATGTATGTGAACTTGTATGTTTGTAAACGCACCCACGAGACAGGATAAAATCCTAGTGTGGGGCAACGTTTTAAAAAAAAACTTATGACGTCATCATATTTTCGCGTCAAATAGCACACTTATATCTAGAAAAAAATGCTAGAATAAATCGAAAATTAAGTATATCGGCAAATCAATAAATGAAAGTGTAACTATTTTTCAATATTAAAGTACTGACTGAATAATCAAAATAATGTATTTTTGACCCAGGAAACTAACCAATTATCGATTCCAAACCATATCAAGTCAAAAAGATAATTTATCAATTTGCTCTTCAGAACGACACTTTTTGAAATTTTAATGCAGCTACGCCATGTTATAGATAGTACCTATCCCCAACCTTATAAGTATGTCAATACAGTAACTAAAATATGTAAGCAATATTTCTAAGCTCCTCAACTATTACAAACATTACTATTCACATCATAAAACAAATAAAACAATCAAAAACTCACATAAATCTTCAGAGCTCATACAATACACGTCTATATTCCGTTGATGACGTCACCGACAGTTGACCGGCAATTAAGACATGACACGCGTCATGACGTCACTCGGTAGCAGGACGAATGACGGCTCTTAATGACGTGTAATTAAAAACCGTTGGTAATGTATTACCAATCGAGCGTCACTCAAAGTGCTCTGTAATTTGAAAGGTGATGGATTGTTCGCGATGAGTTCTCGTTTAAAAAAGGGGGATGTTCATAAATGCATTTATTTTGACATTGAAGATGTAGTGTGGGATATAGTTTACAATTTGTGGAATATTTATTACTTGATGACTAAAGGTCGTCTCAAGTTTTAAAGTAAATTGAGTCTAAAGGTACAACCATGATGTGGGAATAGATCGCTAGTCTTGCATAGAGATCTAATTTTAACTCGATAATCTTTGAATTTCAGAGGTCATGGTGACTGCAAGAGTCCAGTTTCATCTATCGAGAGCTGCACAGAAGACTCGAGACTACTCCTCAATTATCAAGCATGTCCAGATGTGTACGGCTCCGAAAGTACAGGTCAGTAACTTATGAGTGATGGTAATGAAACATCAATCAATAACATCATCAAACAAAATGCTGACGGTGGTAATAAAAGTGATAATGACACGTATTCAGTAACAGATCTAGTAAATGGAACAGATAGTAATCATAAAAAAGAAGAACAATATCAAGTAGATACGGAATTAAGAGCTAAGAATAATTAAAAACAAATAGACCTTTGAGAATACTAGGTAATCGCTAAGTACATAGTTGGTGAGGTTGGTGAAGACACATCAACATAATAAGAAGCTTTATTGTTCGACATAAAACGAAAGACAAGGCAAGACAGCCAGTATCCAAAAATAACAAAAAATAACAATGGAACGTAAACCCTAATTAGCTGACCCATTTCTGATTTAACATAAACATTAAAGAACGGAATATCGTAAACAAAACCGTTAAACTGACTAATACTGTTTAAAAACTAGAATATTATCTTAAACAGCTATTGAAACAATTTGTGTATTTTCGAAAGCTCGTCTTGTTAGACATTGGTTACAAATGGTTGGGCAGAGTTCCAGCCGAGGTGTCAACCATTGTTAGATATAGTCGCGACTCGCGGCTGGTTCGAAATAACCCTTGTGTTAAAGGACATATTGGTGACTCATGGACGCCATTTTATTTTAATTCAATTGTTTATTGATTATTTTAAGTGGCGGTTGTTAATTATTTAAAGTTAAATGCTTACGTAAATACAGGTGGGATTCTCGCCATCGTTTATTAACATACCGAGTTGATTGATGATAAATAAATTGAATCACGTATTCTGTACTGCTATTTTATTTATTAAGCGTCAATATGTACTCCCAATGGCATACGAGTAACAAAATGCATTCACAAACAATAGGCAGCTTTAAGCAAATAGCACAGATTTCAATTTCAATCATCATCACCCGAATGAACTATTAAACCAAATAAAAAATAAAATATTACAACAAAAAACGAGGAAAATAACTTCAAAAGCGTAGTAAAAAACGGGAATAAGAAGAAAGTACATAACAAAAAGGCATTTCCACTCAAAAGGGAACATTTCCGAGCAATTCCCATAGTACTTCCCCTTTATGCCGTCGGCGGTATCTATATAAAACTTTATTTGTGCAGTCGTCTGTCTCAATTGTCTACGTCAACGGCGAACTGTGCGTCTATTCTCGGTTGTTGATTTCGAACAAGAAGTTAACAAACTATGAGTAGGTACTATAACTGGGCTTGCAAGTTTGTCATTTGAGTTCTGTTGCTCATGCCAAGTTCTACGATTGACTGCACTTACCATATTTGTATAGAAAATGTCTTTAATAAGTTATCCATTTGGTTGGTTGTTAAGAGCTATCGTTTTTGTTATAATTTTAATGAGACGATCTTAAATAAGACTTATTATTAAACTATCTTATTAATCTGATTCTCTTCTAACGAGCATAGCATTTCAAAATTCTTCGATCTTTATTCGTCTCTCTATATGTGTGCGTCATCCACGTTTTGTTTCTTTCTTTCTCTATTTTATAAGTTAAAACATTTCAATCACGGTCCACTTCTCTTTATTTCAGTGGAAGAGCTAGAATGCCTGGCGACGTGGAAAGAAGGTAGTCTCCGCTTCTTAGTAGGCAAGCTGCACCACAACCACGCGACTAGCAACGAGGACCGGTACCGATGCTTCGTTTATGAGAAGACGAATGGTAAGCTAACATGTTAACTGTTTTCTCAAATGCTATTGACTAGTGTAGCTATGCGAAAGAGAGATCTGTCTACAGTTAAATGATTATATAATTACTTTAGAAAGATGTTCAAACAATCATCAGATAAATACTATAAGCAAACCAGGGCAGTGATAATTGATTTTTTTTCGTTCGCAACTTATCAACAGACTCACAAATGAAAGAAAACAACCAAAAAACAATCTTCTTTCCTTTATCCGTGAGTCTGAATTTGTTTTCCTCTTTAATTTTAGACTTACTTCTCAACCCACGTGTTACAGCAACCGGTACAGTGAAGGAGCAGGTGATCCCGCCGGGTGGCATCGAGTACAGGGTCGCACAATCGGGAGACGCAACATGCAACGGACTGTTCAGTGCTACCGAAGGTTCCAGAACTATGGCTCTTAAACGTGGTAAGTTGTGCAGAGTCCATACTTTTTGTAAAGGAGCTATAGATACTTCTAGAGAATACTCAGGAGACAATCCTGACTTTGCAAGTGTTTTTAGAGCGACTTTACAATTATTTAGTTTCGTGGTAGAAATAATCAAATCAACGACAGCAGCAGTTATATTCATTAAAAGTGATCTAATGGACGTCGCACTGAGAATTTAAATCAGTTCTCGCTTACTTTGTTGTTTTCATAACAAAGTAAAAATATCACCGTCAACCGAATCACTTCTTTGATTAATACCCCGAATTTTTCTAGACCATAAGTTTTTGTTCTTATTTTTAATGTGGAATATGAATTATCCTTTTGTATAATTCCAGTATCAGTCCGCTTCAACTGCCAGTTTCCGACGTGGATGACGTTCTCCCACACATGGCACACGCTGGACTTCACCAGCAACTACACGTTCTACCAGCGGAATGCCACGTTGAGGATAACCAACCAGACTGGCGCAGACATCAAGGTGTACTGCGTCAATGTGAAGGCGAGCTCGCCGAGCGGGAACTCTGTCGCACTGGTGGCACATTGGCAGCATCATTGGTGAGTTGAACATTTTGATTGCGTCTTCCCTCTCCCTATAATCCTTCTCTTACTTATATGAAACAGCTATAAGGGCGTCAGTAATAATTTGTTTGCTTAATAAAGGTCTTTTTAGGGGTATTATTTATTAACTAAAAATCGCGGGTTCCTTACGTGAATATACTGAGAAAAGCTCTACTAGTTTCGAGCCACAGAGGGTCTCTACCTCATGAGCAGCGTGTGCATTCACGGCGATGTCGCGGAGCCTTCTAGGAATTTTTTATTTGAAACTTTTGCTGATTTGACCGAATTATCAAAGCGACATGAAATAAATAATTCTACTTAAATTCATCTGTTGTCTAGATATTCAAGATTCTGTCTAGATATTCTATACATCAATATACTGAAGCTGTCTTTTTGACTGTTTTTTCTTTGTTTTTTTTTTTAAGGAGGATACCTAATCATCGAATGTCTTCTCCTGCCTGGATGAGGCGGGAGGGAGTGTCAAACTCTTACTGACGAGACTATCTTTTTAACTGTTGTGGTCATAAGTGAGACAGGAGCCATATACCGTAGCCATGGATTTTAATCAGTAAGAGGTCGGCACTTCCTACCGACTCTATTCGTGATTTTCCATCCTCAAGATAAATTTTAAAAAAAGTTTTCCCATCTTTATGAACCGGTTTCGTTTTCCAACCGCAGTGTATCCCGCTACGTGTGCGTGGTGCTGTACCGGCGCGACTCGTACATCGCGGAGCTGCAGCGCGGCGCGCCGACGTCGCGCCCGGACGACGCCTGCTCGCCGCATCACTTCAATGCTGTCACTGCGCCTTATGTCACTTTAGTAGGTTAGTCATTGCCCTGAACAAATTAGAACTGAGATTATTATACATATTAGCAATTACGAATAGCATAGTTTTTCCGAATAATATCGTATCTGAAAAGTGTAAGTTCCATCGTCTCCCATTATTGAATTCCAGTTTGCTAGATTGGTAAAAGATTAATACTTTCCATTCTCTGGTGTAACAAGTTAGATCTGATAAAAATACGATGGTGGGGATTCTCAGTCATTTTTATTATCTAATTTATGTCCTCAAATGAGCGCTAGTGTTCCGTAAAGTCACCAGAAAGTTGGGAATACCCAACTTTCTAGCTATGAAATATGATGATAGCTCTACAACCATCGATTCCTATCCATTGATTAGATACGCCCTTGGCGTTATTTTTGGGCACAAAATCACCCATCGCTTGACATTATTTATTATTATTTGTGACTTAAAATCAAATTGTCTATTTTCCAGCAAGCAATCCCGAATCAAAAGAGTGTCCCTATTCCGGAAAATATGAAATACAAAATCGTCGCAAGAGAGATACGAGATCGAGTGAAGATAATAGTAGTAAGAGAGAGAAAGCAATGCTGGAACATAATCGTAGGGTTAATGGGAGTAGGTTGTTCAATTTTAGCGTAAGCAACATGTCCAGTGCTCCCATGTTGAGGAGTAGAAGGGAGTCGGAGGGAGAAGTAGCCTGCGTGGTCAACAGCTACAACAGGCTAGAAGTTGGCTGCAACTCCGTTAAGAATATGGAGTTCTATTCCACGTGTGAGAATAGAGAAGTCGTCACTGGTGAGTTGAAACCGTTGTTTAAAATAGAATATTGAATTTGAGTTTCTAACCCAACCACCACCAATTACCCACCTAATTCTCTGTTACCCTAATGGGAGTTGGTCCTGAATGACCATTACCTATGAGTCACTAGACCACTATCATCCATTAGTTTAGTCACGTTACATTTGGGTTTTCCTTTTTTTAAATTCCTACGTACCTACACAACAACATTTTATGAATAAGTAATACGTCTACATGGTAAAAGCATAATTGTAGTAACACAACAATATAATTTTCAGCGTACACGTGTCACGGCGGCTGGTACGAGAACGGCGCGTCGTTCGTGGTGACGACGCCGGTGACGCGCGACAGCACGGCGGCGCGGCGCTACTGCTTCGTGGCGCGCGACCAGCCGCGCGCCGCCCTCGCGCTGCGCCGCTCCGCCACCAACTGCGACCGCAGCGACACCGCGCCGCATCTACTCTTTGACGCCACCGCTACTGGTAACTACTTTGAAAACAGATAAAATCACAAAATCTTTTCTTTTCGAAATAAATTATACTACGAAGTACCCAGTCGTAGCAGATTTTTCACAGGAGTGGTCCCAATACTGATCCCTGAGGAACATTATTCGCTGGTCTGTTCCTATGCCTCATACTCTACTTGGGTCGATAACAAATGTCTCTGATAAGTAGTAAGAAGCTAGGAAGGTACACCATGATAAACAATCGCTTCCCTAATGCAAATCCAAATACTGTTTGGTAATAAATTATTCAGCTTTTGATGAACTCTTGAAGGGGCAAACACGAATAGGTATGTACATAGGTACGTAATAATATTGGTATACCTAACTGTTATTTTTCCATTGCAGGTGAATGTCAAGATCAAACGAGCCATCAACCAGCTCTGAGGATATCCCTAACTTTTGTAATATGTCTCCCAATCATACACTACGTAATACCGAGATGATTCCTAGTAAACGACACAAAATAAGTCATTTCGGACCCCTCACCCTTGTAATTATAGCTACGAAAATAGGCAGGCTTAGAAACTATTTAGTACCACCTTTAGTTACAACACTTTGTAAACATATAACAAGCCTTTTTTCCAGTAATTTTCGTTAAAAAATTAATATTGTAAAACATTTAAAATCGATATTACTAACGTTTACCAATCATAGATAGATTCAATCGCCTAAAACATGATATTGCCATAACAAAAAATAGCTAAAATAACGAATAACCGTTATTTGAAAGTTGTTATTTCATTATATTTAAATGTACAATTTTAGATAATAAATTGACATGTTAGATGTCGTCTTGATTGCACAAAATGCACGTATATTTCTTGATTTCTTCTTTTTGATTGTTGCCTCCAAGTTAAATTATTTTTGATAACTGAACTAATAATATTGTAGGAGGGTCGATTGTAATAAGAAAGAAGTAACTCTGAAGGTGGTCAATGGGCTACCGTTTTTTTGCTCACCAAATAGCGCCAGTATAATATGAGGTCTGTTCATCGAATCAACTATTATCAAACCATTGGTTATTCAATTTTGACAGCTACAGTGATTGGTCAAATGGCCATCATTATCAGTACCATAATATTTAATTTTTTCTCAAACCTCTCTGTATGAAATGATATGTAAATTAAAATTGAACGAAGCAATTTAGACTCCAATAGACAGTTTTATTATTTCAATAGATAAATGTGATTCTTGGAGGCACATCTGTTTGGATGTCTTGTGTATAGAAGTACTATATTCTATTAGTAAATTGTTATCCTTGGACCAATTTATAAAAATCATTCCAGCAAGATTTTTGTAACTAACTTCAAAGGTGAATACTTACTAGTTCAACTGCTTTATAGATAATTATGTCTACTTGTACGTCGACAAGAACTTAGGTTTTTCCGTTTAAATACTTTATAGGTACTTGTAAATCATCAATCTTACCTAATATATTGATTTTGTAGAGTTTACATCAATAAAAATGAATTAGAATAATTATTACTCATCTGATTTTATATTTTGGTCCAAGCATTACACAATTTAGACAAATGGTTGGTAGATTTGATGAGAATGGTTGTGAAATAATTCTTGTTGCGACAGTTTTATATATTATGCAGAAATGTCCTCGGCTTCTTATTTCATTTTACCTAATATTTTTTATTTGTATTTCTTTAACATATTTAGCTTTGTGTTAACTGTAATTCATGATGCATTTAAAATATTTTGCCATTTGTTTGTTGGAAAAATATGTATCTAACGTAATATTATTTATAAAATACTTGGATAATTTGCTCACACGACCTGTCTCCCATTTATAAACTCTTGGCGCCTTTGGACATAAAAGGTTTAGGTAGGCGAAACCGATATTATTTATACATACACAAAATATAGTCTATAACTTATACTTATTACATTATTTAATCTTAATACAAATTAGTACGTTCACTACAATTATGAAGCTTCGAATTATGTACAAAATCATTGTAAAATGTTACTCAGTAGCTAGAATAATTTTACGATCTAGTTAATTAATTAACTTTATTTTTTATTTAATCCCATTGTTTCTTACCTTACCTTTTGTATATTTTGATTTGTGTAAATTAAAATGTAATCATAAGTTTTTTAGATACATAATAATTAATAAGCACAATTATTATCAAGGCCCCATTTAGTTGGCGTTGGCGTTAGTAAAATAAGTCATTTAGATAAACCATAGTTAAACGGTTTATTTTGATCAACCTAAGTAAGTTATTTTTAAAGTTATAATTAAATTCTTCACCCTTATTAGATTTAATTACTTACCATTAACGGGCCACTATATTTTTTGCAAACTGAGTGCACAATATCGACACTTCTGACCAACAGTTTTAAGTAACTATGTATTATATACATACCTCTCTTCAATTGTTTGTAGATTACCTTCTCCAATCATTTACTATAGACGTAAATGATTAAACCTAAACTTACTACCAACAACTTTTACATGTTAAATAATAAAGTATAAGTGTTACAAACTTTGACAAATTTAGTCAGAAGTGTTGGTTAACCTTCCAAAAACTCAATGCTCAAACTTGGCTAGATTAGCAAATTATTTTTTAAATGGATGGGGTCTAAATGATTGTTACAATGCACCATATAATGGTTGCTTCACTAACTTTGTACTAATGTATTTGTTACGACATTTTCACGAGAAAGCAATGTTTTCTCAAATCAAGCAATACTACTATAGGTAAGATTAGATAAGACTAAATTTAGTTAAGTAAAAACGAATACTCATTTTGAGATCAATGTAAAATTTAATTAAGTTATTAGATAATAAAATCGCAACAGCAATAATATATTTGTATTTATAGCTATTGAGCGTTAAATTTTTAATAGTTAGTAGACAGTTGTGGATAATGGAGCTAGCGTTGTTGTTTTATAATGTGACAGAGAGATTATTTCTTTGTGGAAGCTAACTTGTAAGGAAATCATTATAAACGTCAATAATTAAAGAAAAATACTTTAAAATGGTTTTCTTCGAGGTTATCATCGATAAGTTTCCATTGTGTGATATAGGTACATTGAAATTAATTAAGTATATAGTCGTCAGCATGGATTAAAATAAACAGCGAAATTGATTTTGAATTGTTTTATTTTTATATAAATCCTTTATACAAAAGCAATTACCAAATAATTCCCACCTCTTTTTTTCCGATAAGAACAAGTTTTTAATAACATTTTCTAATACTTATACGTAAAAGTGTTTTTAAATACTTTGTCATTCACTCAGATATTTTAATACTTTTGAACGCCATCTATCGGTGATTAAAAGAGTTTCATGAGGCCAAACTTAAATAGTGTACGAGATTACTCTTCAATTCTAAATTAATAAAAGCAAGCTAAATGATTGCTTTTTATGGTTCTGTATTATTGAGTCGCGAACAAAAAATATCAATAAAAACAATAATTTATACGTACCTATTTATTAATAAAATGAAAACGTTTAAAAAAATATTGCTACTGAATTCAACGAACGAAATCCATTAAAAGTTTTTGTAAAATTTTGTAAAAGTTGAGGATATCAGTTACGAAATTGTTCATAAAACATTGTTTTAATTAGAATCTACAAAATACTCTCAACAACGTACCATAAAATAATATAACGTAGACATCAACGCAACGGAATAACCGTTTTGTAATATAACCGTTATAACAACAACGAACGTTCAAATGAACGCAGCCATAACGCAGTGTTACCAACAGAATAAACAAAACACTCCATTCAAAGCTGTCAACATTCTGATAAGTCATGTCATGTGTTGGTGTTGCTTGGCTTGCTTGCTTTCAGCTTTCTTTACTTTGCTTGTACGCGCGTCGTCAGTCAATCGGACTGTTTATGTGTAGAAACATCTATCGCATAACACACAAATCGTAACAACAAACTCGATCGTCATTATAAAACCGAAACAAGCTCTGTACAGTGCCAATATCAAAAGGATATTTAGGAAATATGTGAAAGTGACAGTACCAAAATCGACATAGTTTTTGTGTGAATATAATGTTATTTCGCATATTTTCGAGTACCGTCAGTTAGTGTATCGGCGTTTATAAAGAAGATGTTACGCGTAAGGCATAGTTCTTGTGTAGTGGAAGACACTTGATCGGGAACACTATGTTCGAAGCAGGATAAGCGTACTCGATTATAGCACGATCAGCTATAATGCAACACGAGTGTACGCAGGAGGGTGGCAGGAGCAGGTACGAGCGGCGAAAGCCGAGCAAGGTGCTGAAGATAGCAGAGAGCTTCACGAACTTGGATGAGACTGCGAAGTCGGGGCGTTATGTGCGGGGCCCTCACTCGAAGTTGGGGCGCAGGTACCGGGACGGTGAGACCGGGAGCCGGACTAAGCGTGCGGTGTGTTGTGATGATGATTGTGATAAGGAGTCAGGTGTCAGTGAGGATTGTGAGAGACTCGGTGACCGCAGGGTGACAGGCTCGTCATGCACGGCCCTGCGGACTGCTGTGGCCGCGCTCTATCCCTTCGACGACTTCATACTCGAGAAGATTGGCACCGGATTCTTCTCTGAAGTTTTTAAAGTAAGTCCTTAGTTTACATACTTACCATGACAATAAGCATTCTTTATTTGTTTACAAGTCTAATATTTAAGCTATGCAAAATATACCACTTTTCTAATTGATTCTCAGTGTGAAAAATATTATCAACATCACATAATCTCTAGATATCTGTACCGAGTTAAATTGAAGACCTGAAATAAATACCTACTTAATCAAAACAAAACCACTAGATAACCTGATTCTACAATCTATAATCTGCTTTAACAAACTGCTATTGCAACAAAAAATGTATAAACAAGTTTCTTGTGTATTACACAAAAAAATAACAAAAATTCAACCAGCTGTTACTATGAATAAATTAGAAGACTAGACACTTTCAACAATCTTTAAGAAATGCTCTTTAGTTTACTGAATTATTAAGTGTGTGGAAAATTGTATTATACAATTCATATAAGGTTACAATATTATTATTTACTCCATTAAAACTCAAATTGAAATAAACAATCCATGTCAAATTCACAGAATTCCAATTGCAATATTTAAGTACCATAATAAGCAAAACAAAAACAACCATATTAGGTTTCCAACTTATTTCTAAACAGAATTCAAAAAAAACCCTTTGCTGAAGTCCATAAATAGGTAAATTCTAATAAATGAATCCTAACATGTGTCAACAAATGATGTAATTAGAATTATAAACCACAACATGAATGTAAACAAGTTATTCATTACATTAATAATTTTCTGGTAAACGGATTAGTAATGAGAAATTATCCTAATAACAGTTTACAAAGTAATCAAAAAGAATATTACTTAAATATCTTTTCTGTTACCTCCATAATACAATGTAAACAAAGTAAGGTACATCCTTAATTATGCCGCAAATATCGTCAATTAATGCCATTCTATTTGGCACCTTTTGTCACCTTACCATTTCACCGACATTGTTGGCACAGCGCCATAATATTAATGGCCCTTTATAGTAATTTATTGGCCATCTAAATATCTGCCCCAAGCATGTACTCCACACTTATAATGGTGCATAGCAATAATATTTCTGTCATGTTAATACATTAATGCTGTCACTCTGAACAATATTAATTCCGTTTAATTTATTAGCATGAGAAAAACTTTCAATGTGTTATTTATTCTATACATACATAATAAATCTGTACATTAGTATTCTGTACAGCTTAAAGAAATTGCTAGAAATCTTGTTGAAATTCATTAGAATGTAGAAATTATAATATTGGTTACACAAATAATTTCATTAAATATTCAAACTTACACAGCATTCCTAAGTTAAGACGTTAAGAAATTGCTTCACACGTTGAATTAATATATTAAAACTTCTCTACTATAAATATAGATGTATTCTTGTCGAAGGACATTCTGATTCTTGATTGAAATTTCATGCAAAGTGTGAAGCATGCAAAGTGCTGCCAAACATCCATTTAAAAGTTCATGACAGTCATTCACAAATATGATAGCTCCTATCAAATCCACACAAATTAGCTCATTGTTATTCAATAAATGTTAAAGTTTGTGACTTGAATATCTATTCACAAACTGGTCAATGTTTATGTGTTTACAACATGGGATTGAAAGCCGGCCTTGGTAATGGCCTTGAAACTGATGTACCATAAAACTAATTTTAATCGGCAATTGTATTGCGACTGTTTGGCGGATTATCCTTGTTAGAATTGAATTGATGATGCTTTTGAATGGAATTATTCAAGGACTTAGGTACTTGGAATCTGTTATACTGATTTTAAATTCCTCTTTCTTCAAAGGAAAGAAATGATCTTTCCTTCAATTAAAAATCAAAAGGTGAAGTTTTTGACTCACAGTAAATATTGACTTTACTCAAGAACAATTGGGTCTCTGTTTTCTTAGGTTTTTCCAAATCTTGACAATGGACTTGAATCCAATGAATATGCATTACTGTGTAAATTGAAAAAGGATTGGTTAATGAATATTGGACAATATTGCAGTATAACTGAGGCTTTGTTTTAAATGGAATATGTGTATTTTGAACATAAGTCTCGGTCGTACCCAGTACATTATATTTACACAACTGGCACCCTTAGGCAAAGTACATATTTCTGACACTGACATCATTTGTTAATTTATTGAATCGTCTGATGCATGGAATTTCTTGAGACTTAGGACATAAATATTTTTCATTGTAATAAGTACTGTAGTGATATCATGTAAGGCGTGAGTAATGTCTGTTTAACACATTCTTGGTTTTGTACTTTTGAAGTGTGTAGGTTTTCAGTGTGAACATGTCATTGTCCCTTATAATGTAATATTGATTCATTTAGTACCTACATAGGTGACCTATCACTTTCAAAACAAGTAAACGAAATAGCCACCTACATGGTACTGAAAAGAATGAATAATGTTTGATTTTCTGTCTGCAATCAATTTTGTGGGATTCGAGAATGAATCTCAAAAACTATCTAGACTTATTAGTATAACTAACCAAACGTAGGGTTTCGATTTCAAAATTAAGTATTCATTTGCCTATCACATTGGAGACAAGTTGTGTGCGATTTACATGTATGTGTTTATCGTTAAGTCACTCTACGACTGACGAAACCCAAAACTCTAAACCTGCTAATTTAAGCTAACTTTTCACTAAATAAGTTAGACAAACATAGGTCGAGACGTGACATCTGCGAGGCACACTCTAATCAAACGACACTATTTCGTCATTCGGAATTTCAAATGTAGAGTAAGCCAAGTTCGAATGTTCTTATCAAATAATTAATTCCGTGTAAAACGAGTACGTACTTTTATTATGAACAACTTTCTTAATAGTTATTGAAATAATTAATTGAGCAGTTGAGCTACGTTTGTTTAACCCAATTAGAGAGTACCTACCTAGCTAGATAATAATGTTTAACGCTAATTTATATTGACGTTAAAAGTTTTTGAGGTCGTACGAGAAAGTGCTCGTCTGTCGTCGAACCTAATTTTGCTAGACTGCGTCTTATAGCCCATAGTTTGGCCGGTACTGTTGCTACCTCATTTGTATAACTAAGTAACTATTTATAAACCTATATGAAGTCGCGGAGAACCTAACGGGTTACCGGGGCTCCGGCTCGACGTGCAGGAGAAGGAACGTTGTGGTTTTTAGTCAGTAAGAGTCTGACACTCCCTCCCGCCTCACCCAGGCGGGAGCAATCATTCGATGATTAACCCCTTTAAAAAAATAAACAAAAAAACCTATATGAACCGCTTTGTAATAGTTACTCGATACCCATCTCATCAAAATCGGTCTAACGACTGGCACGTTAAGTGACTATCAACCTTTGCCTGCTCTTTTCAATGACAAAATTAAACAATAACATTATTATATGATTTAAAAGGAAACACATTAATAAGATTAACCCATAACGGTTCATTTAATACCCATTCCAAGTACATTACTCCAGTTCGAATGGTAGTTAAATTGAGCCTACAGGTAGTTATAGATTATAGAAGTTATATTAAATAGTAAATACATACCTTAGTACGTTTTTATAGCTCGTAGGTTATCGTAATCTTAACTTTATATTTC